CAAGGCACTGAGGTCTATATAATGAAATGTCTTTGGACAGCTTTGCTCATAACCGAAATAGCTAATCTGGAAATAATAATAATAGCTTTATTAGCACCTGTCATACAGTGTATAAGCCAAATCACTCAGCGGGGCACAGGCCGCACAGCTATGAAAAAAAAGAAGATTGTTTCACAAAAAGCAAAAGTCATCTGGGAAAAAATGTTGAATACAGACAAAAATCAGAAAGTTAGCAATGTTTTGATTTTAATCAATTAAAGTGCATATGAAATTGCCATTTTTACCAATGCATATGATGTAATTTCTCTTCACAGTGAGTTACAATCCCTTGGACAGACACTAGATTGTGCATTACATAAGAAACTAAAGCAGTAACTAATATATTCATATTTCAGGGATATAGATTTAATTAGATTTAATATAACTTCAAATTAAATATATGCATATGTATCCATTTCTTTGTTGCATCAGGAAGAACCCCATGTATTTTCAGTACAACAACCATCAGAGGTAGAACATAATGGGTATGTAAATAAATCAGTTTAAATGATTAACGCGTAGATGAGAAATGCAAAATCCTTTTTTTTTTTGGTTGTTGAAGTATGATCATTTCAAGTTTTAAACAATCCTGCATAATTTTTGATTGGAAGACACAGTATTTGCACTTTAAATAAAGCGTAAACTATATGCATCCGTAATACAAAGCAATATAACTTTTATAGGCGAGTGTAAGTAATAGAGAAGATCATAGTCAACATTTCACTTTTAGCATCTCTTTCTCTCTGCAGTGATAGACTGCTAGTCATCATCCATGCAGGCAATATCGTGAGGACAGTACATCGGTTTCACCATAAATCATTTGTTTTGGCTGCAGATTTTAGCCACATTTGCAAATTTCGCAATATTTTGTTTTGGTTCACACTACCGTCTCCTGCAGAACCAGAACTTCATACCCCCTTAGCGTTCACTGGAGTGTTAAATTAGTTCCAGTAACATTTGTCAAATGCAATAAGATATCTTTTTTTAACGCTGCACTGAATGTGAAATCTCTGTATCCACATTGACCTTTTCTCACTGAGACTGAAGATTCAGCTCTATAGATGTATAAACTATACACATTTTCAGAAACCTATAGTTTTTATAGGTTTTCAGTAACGTAATATGTGCTAATAATCAATAATGTGGCAGTAGAGCGTCCACAAGGAGCGTCACACTCTAAAGTCACAATGTACGAAATCTGAAACACCGCAAGACGTTCGTACTCCCATTCATTAAGTTTGAAGTAAAATAAATCAACTACAAATTAATTTGCCTTGAAATTTCTTTAAGTAGCTTTATCTTCATGAGTTCATTACAATCATAAAAGCTATTTGAGTTTTTTTGTTTTTGAACGCTTTACTGATGATGTGACGCTTTTTTCTTTCAAATGGCAAAAGTTCTATGACGTCACTAAAGTGATTTGCTTTTATTAGCCGCCGAGACATTGAGACGTGGTCACCACTACTCAGTTGTAATGCAGTAGCATTGTGAGGTCACAGTTGTGATGTAGTAGCATTACACTGGGCAAAAGTCGGTATGCTGCGAGACCGTCTCATGACCAGACGGACCTCCACGTTAGGGAGACTGTCCTGTTTTATCTGGCTGCAACCCTCATCTGCTACAGCCATATGAAGGTTGAAACGCAGAGACACAGATTTCTTCCTCAGCTTGGGATTTCCTTTAAAGAATGACCCTTCCCATTGCCTGATGACCTTGTCAATCTTCTCTGTCCTATAGCACACAAAAAGCATAAAAATTAGGATTGCACAATCTCTGGTGCAAAATAAATGACGATTTAAAAGTTCCATCACAATTTGATTGCCTGTGAAGCCACATGCAAGATCAAACACGTCAAGATCTTTGTCTTTAAGGTGTGAAGTGCTTATGGTTCTTCATTGCAGCTTGAAAATAAATCTATGTAAACTCACTCCACATTTCCGTGACCCTCAGCACTCTCCCTCACTACATTTCCTTCCAGAATCTCTTGAGTCTTCACAGTACAGATCTCCCCATCTTTGTTTATGACTGGTTCTGGATGAGAAACACACACACAACATCTCTCAGCCTCGCAGTTGTATAATGAACCAGTTGTTGAGAATGACTCTGGAAATCTGAAACAAGATGCATTCCAGGGCCTGTTTTATGTTGGACAATGAGTTTGAGGGTGTTTTGACATCATCCTCACTTATGCTTATTTTTGGAGTCATCTCAGTGAAGAACGGCTCAGCGATATCCTCGTCACATCCGTTGGGCAGGCCGTTCTGCTCTGGAGCAGGAACTGAGCCCTTCCATGGCTTCAGCTTTAGAGGCCGACCATCTGAGTTCAGAAACCTGTGGTTCAGGAGTGAAAGAAGAAGCAGTTTTGATTCAAGACCACACTCGACTTTATTGGTGCCTTAGAAACCTCTTTGGGTTGATTGACTTTTTATAACATCAAGGGCACAATTCCAAAAACCCTGTCAAAATTCCAGTGTATTACATTGGAGTTGCATGAAAGACATCATACAAGTTTGAGCATGTGCTAACGGTTTTATTGCATAAACGAATACAGCTCAGCAAATCTATCTCTCCCTTACCTGCCCTCCTCATGTTCCAGGAGTTTCCTATAGGTTGTGATCTCTCTCTCCAGCCTCATCTTGGTGTTGAGGAGCTGGGTATGGTTCTGTTTCTGCACTTCCAGACCGTCCCGCACAGTTTCTAGCTCAGACTCCAGACTCCTGACAGACTGGGACAGATCCTTGAGCTGCACAGAGTACTGGAGCTGAGTGTGGTGTAGAGAGCTATGGAAACTCCTCTCCTGGTGGGATAAAACAGAATAGTTATTTATTACCAATATCTACACCCCTTTTACCAGCCTACACCCCGAGACACTGGGATAGGCTCCGGTATCCCCATGTCTCTTTGTAGGACAATCTGCTTGGAGAATGGCTTAATGAATGGATGGATCTTCAGGGTTGGTGGAATGGAATAGGGTGGTCGGACATTGTGAACAGTGACCAAAATATCACAGGGTCAAGCAACAGAAGCAAGGCATCTCCCATTTAAGTTAAGTCACTTTAGTGCCAGTGCCACTTCATCCATACAATGCCATCATGTTTTACAGGGTCAGTCCGCCTGGACCAGCTGGGATTAGATGCCTTGCTCAAGGGCACAATGATGATGGCTCATAAATTGCATCTTGCATTGTTTGATCCACTAATCTTTCTGTTATTGTCAATCCCCCTGAAGGAACCTGGAGTTGAAAACCGTGGCACAATGGTGATGACTCAAGGATCTTACATTGCAGAGATCAAAGCAACAATATTCCAGAAACTGAAAATAAACTTCCGGTTAAATCTGAGATTAAGAGGTTGGCTCAAGGGCACAATAGTAGTGGCATATGGATCATGCCTTGTGGGGCATCAAACTAGCAACCTTCTGATTAAAAGCCTTGAGTTTTAACCACGACACCACCACTGTAATGTATCTTGATCAAGGACACAGTGGTCACTGGAAATCCCAATAATTCTACTGTTCATGAACTGTGGATCAAGTGGTAGAAGATGGCTCTACCAACACTAGGGACATGGATTAAATTCCCAGGGCTCAACTTGTATAACATGGCACCTTCAATGGGGTTTCTAACCAAAATATTTAACAACAAAACTAGTATTCAGTAACAATTTGTGGTTATCCGCAGTATTTGATTTATAAATTATGAGGTCACAGAACAAGGAGTGATGACAAATCTGGCAGGGATCTGTCGTACATTTCCTGGAGGCGAAGTGTTGGTATATGTTTAACACTTAATCTACATGGCAAACAAGTTATTTAATTCACAAAAATGGAGGTTGAATCAGATTCTGGAAGTGCCGGTTTCAGATCTGGCTTGTTCTGGCAGGAATTAAGGTGTGCATATGCGTTATGCATCAGTAAGTGATATTCTAATTTTTTTGTATTGTGCATTAAGGTGAAATGGGTTCAGGAGTGTGTGTGTGTTTAGGTGTGTCTACATGTTCCTGAATTGGAGTGTGTGTATCTGGGTGTGTCTGTGGGAATCGAACGCACCAAGGCATGTAGAGATTCAATTTCCACCTGTAGACGGTGCCATCTCTTTCGGGCCTCTGTGAGCTCGGCTCGTGCCTCTTTCAGGGCCTCGTCACCTGCTCTCACCTACACAAAAAACATAACACATGCAGTGTGTACATAAGAATGCCACAGAGTACGATAAATCTTAATACAGTTTTGAGCCTTTTTCATATTGCTTACCATTGAGGTTTTATCGCACTGTGCCTTAGGTAAAATTACTTTAATGCATAGCCTCTCTGGCATATTGTTTTAATTATCCATGACTTACATCCCACAATAAAGTTATGTGCTAAACGGAACGTCAGTTAGCACTGGTAACTCAATAGA